TAAAAGTATCATCAAGGCGCCGAAACCAAACTAAAAGAGAAGAACAAAATTTGCCGTTCATGACACATCTAGTTCTTTAAAACTTTAAGAAGAGAGTTACCGACAGGTATTCAGCCAGTATTTCGACTAAAGTTTGATAGAAGTTGTAGTTATTTTGCGTAAAGTTGGTGAGTTTATGATTTTTCGCATGTTGTATAGTTCGCCGTACATTACAAATTTTTCCAGTACCTTATTTTAGCCTTTAAAAACTGATTTACACCCAATCCCGTTTTAACTTAGCAAATAGTCATTTCCCAGGTTATAGGTGAATCCTTTTTCACACCTGTAATGCTTTTTTTCGCCTCATTAACATATGCCTATCGTTATCTGATGAAGCTAATAAAATAAAATTTTCTATTTATTGAAGGAGCATACCAGTTTCAGTTATCGCTGAAAATTTGAGCCCGATACACCAAATAGTTCCAGAGAAAAACCCCAAAATTGACAAAGAATGTATGAGCTCATGAAGGTTTTGCCACCCAACAATTTGGCAGTATTTGATGGCTGCTATTTCCGTTGAACTTAATTAGTGAAAAGCTATCCAGCATAGTGAAAACAAAGACTTAGTTAATTATCAAGGGTTTTATATTTCCAAGAAACCCTTGCGAAAAAGGACTTTTAATACTTTTTATATTTTTTGTAAAAAGAGAAATTTCATTGTCTATGCACCTATAAACCAACCAACATGTGCAAAAAGTGAAGTTTTGGCAAAACGAAACTGCAGCTTAAAGGCCTAGTTGAATCTCATTGAAAATATGCTAGTGCGCGAGGATTTTCACGCGTGCAAAAAATGATACGTGCAATTAAAATCGCGAACGATGTTTATTCAGGTGTGAGAAAAGTGGTACGTCCAATCAGAGGCCACAGAGATTTGTGAGTCTCGCGCCAAAGTTCCCGCCTTTTATAGGCTCTTGCAGATTCTTTCTCGCACTTCAACTAAGTCTTCGACAAGACAATCGCAGCGATCCAATCGTAGTGGATTGCATATGAGTGCTAGTTCGTCTTTATCGATTACAAGAGCCAAGGAAGCTTCTAGAATTGCAGAATTGAAAGCCCAGGCAGCCGCTTCTAACCTCGTGGGTATAACTTTAATTTCTCTTTCTTCAGGTTGAATGTGTCTTCATGACTGATGGACTCATAACAGACCGAATTCAACGTAACCTTATTTTAAACGAAAAGGATAAATACAAGGATATTAAGCTTCAGCTTCTCAAGGGAGGCCGTGGGCAGTTTGGATTCCGCTTCCTTAACGAAGTCAAATGGGCAGTGGCGAGATTTAACTTTCAGTACCTTCTTAGAATCGATGATGACTACTTCCTGTGTTCAAAAAGGCTTCTTTCTGAGCTTCCATTGAGGCCGAAACAAAATCTAGTCTGGAGATTTTTCCACTGTGAAGTAGGAATCACATGGCTGGATGAAGCATTTATGATATTCACTGAAGATATCATTCAGAAGTTCTTGGCGCAGAACAAAAGCTCGATGTTGTGTCATCCACATGCGGACCAACAAGTCATGTTGTGGCTGAGCAATATTGTAAACAAAATATACTTCCACGATATTAGCTAGGTTACATCATGAGCCTCCAGCGTCATTTGTTTCTCGATTTAGTAACATGTCGAATGTTTGTGACTCCCATTTAGGCGCGCATGGAGCGTACGGTAAGACCATGTATTATCTCTGGCTGAGGGCTAATGACAATGCTAAAGGCGTTTCAACTATTCCTGATTTTGCAAGATTTTGTAAAAACACAAAGTTTGATCACCGTGCATTTAATCCTGAGTGGCGATGTGAACCCAAGCCCTGCAAAGGTAACCCAACATGGAACTTGGGAAATGAAATGTGGCTTGGTAAAGAAGCTGGTCATGATGTGTAGCCTGAAATTATTTTTTTAAAAAACTAAAAACGATAGAGGGCCGTGTTTTACAGGATGTCAAAGAATGAAATCTCGTTGTCCCGTTTTAATTCACTGGTGGTGAATTTGATACTGTTATGGCTATTCAAATGCTGCAAGAACCTTAAGCACAGTGACGTTAAACAGTAAAAGTATCATCAAGGCGCCGAAACCAAACTAAAAGAGAAGGACAAAATTTGCCGTTCATGACACATCTAGTTCTTTAAAACTTTAAGAAGAGAGTTACCGACAGGTATTCAGCCAGTATTTCGACTAAAGTTTGATAGAAGTTGTAGTTATTTTGCGTAAAGTTGGTGAGTTTATGATTTTTCGCATGTTGTATAGTTCGCCGTACATTACAAATTTTTCCAGTACCTTATTTTAGCCTTTAAAAACTGATTTACACCCAATCCCGTTTTAACTTAGCAAATAGTCATTTCCCAGGTTATAGGTGAATCCTTTTTCACACCTGTAATGCTTTTTTTCGCCTCATTAACATATGCCTATCGTTATCTGATGAAGCTAATAAAATAAAATTTTCTATTTATTGAAGGAGCATACCAGTTTCAGTTATCGCTGAAAATTTGAGCCCGATACACCAAATAGTTCCAGAGAAAAACCCCAAAATTGACAAAGAATGTATGAGCTCATGAAGGTTTTGCCACCCAACAATTTGGCAGTATTTGATGGCTGCTATTTCCGTTGAACTTAATTAGTGAAAAGCTATCCAGCATAGTGAAAACAAAGACTTAGTTAATTATCAAGGGTTTTATATTTCCAAGAAACCCTTGCGAAAAAGGACTTTTAATACTTTTTATATTTTTGTAAAAA